ACCCAGGACGGACAGGCCACAGTAGAAAACTCAAACAAAATGGATAGTAACAAAAGGCTAAAACAGTAACAAAAGGCTAAAAGATATGACGCCGGAAGATGAGCCCCTCAGGTCAGAAGGTGTCCAATATGCTACTGGGGAAGAGCAGAGGGCAAGTACAGGTAACCCCAGAAAGAGTGAAGCGGCTGGGCCAAAGCCGAAAGGACACTCATCTGTGGATGTGTCTAATGGTGAAAGGAAAGTCCGATGCTGAAAAGAACAATACTGCATAGGAACCTGGAATGGCAAGACTTAACATCGACATCTTGGGAATCAGTGAACTAAAGTGGACGGGAATGGGCGAATTTAACTCACAAGTCCATTGTATCTACTACTGTGGCCAAGAATCCCGTAGAAAAAATGGTGTGACCCTTATAGTCAACAAGAGAGTGAGAAAGGCAGTAATGGGATACAATCTCAAAAACGACAGAATGATCCCGGTCCGAATCCAAGGCAAACCATTCAACATCACAATAATCCAAGTCTATGCCCCAACCACTGATGCAGAAGAGGCTGAAGTGGACCGGTTCTATGAAGACCTACAACACCCTCCTAGAACTAACACCACATAAAGATGTCCTCCTCATCATAGGGGACTGGAATGCTAAAGTAGGAAGTCAAAAGGTAACAGGAATAATGGACAAGTTTGGCCTTGAAGAACAAAATGAAGCTGGGCAAAGGCTAACAGAGTTTCGTCAAGAGAACACGCTGGTCATAGCGAACACCCTCTTCCAACAATGGTTTGCAGCCTTGAGGGCCCTAATTGGATGAAAAGGCACCATACAAATGTTGTAAATAAATACATAAATGTGCTGCAGACTGTCATGCATGAAGGAGAGGTAAATCCCTCCAATTGTCACCAATGTGTGGAAGCTTTTTGAAAAAAATCCCACCACCCTAGCATGATGTGTTGGTTAGAGAGTCAGATTAGTATCTGAGAGAACCCGATACAAAACCTCACTTTACCATGGAATTTGCTTGTGACATAATAATATAAGAAGAGTCCTGCTGGATCAGACCAGAGGTCTATCTAGTCCAGCATCCTGTCTTAAACAGTGGCCAACCAGTTCCTTGGAGGTCCAACAGCAGGGGACAGAGGCCTTCCCCTGATGTTGCCTTCCAGAAATTTACCGCTTCTGAATTTGGAGGTTCCGTTTAGTCACCATGGCTGATAGATCTATCCTCCATGAATCTGTCTAATTCCCCCTTTAAAGCTGTTTATTCTTCTGGCCATCCCTACATCCTCTGGTAGCAAATTCCACATTTTAATCACTCGCTGTGTAAAGAAGTATTCTCTTTTGTTCATCCTGAATCTACTGCCCATCAATTTCACTGAATGCCCTCATGTTCTAGTATTTTGGGAGAGGGAGAAAAAGTTCTGTGAGCTCTTTCCACCCCATGCATAATTTTATCATCTCTATCATGTCTCCTCTTAGTCTTTTCTTTTCTAAACCAAAAACGTCCCAGACTCTTCAGTCTTTCCTTATAGGGAAGGTGCTCTCACCTCCAATTAATCTCAGCTGCCCCCAGCTGCCACACCTCAAAAAGGCTATTATAGCACTGGAAAAAGTGCAGAAAAGGGCAACTCGAATGATAAAAGGGTTGGAACACTTTCCCCATGAGGAAAGGTTAAAGCGCTTGGGGCTCTTTAGCTTGGAGAAACGACGACTGAGGGGTGATATGATTGAGGTTTATAAGATTATGCATGGGATAGAGCAGATAGAGAAAGAAGTACTTTTCTCCCTTTCTCACAATACAAGAACTCGTGGACACTCAATGAAATTGCTGAGCAGTCGGGTTAGAACAGATAAAAGGAAGTACTTCTTCACCCAAAGAGTGATTAACACATGGAATTCACTGCCACAGGAGGTGGTAGTGGCTACAAGCATGGACAGCTTCAAGAGGGAATTAGATAAGCATATGGAGCAGAGGTCCATCAGTGGCTATTAGCCACAAGATATAGATAGGAACTCTCAGTCTGGGGCAAGTAATGCACTGTATTCCTGGTGCCTGGGGGGGGGGGGCAGCAGTGGGAGGGCTTCTAGACGGAGCCTGCAAGATGGAGCTCTTCCACCAGACTTTCATATAGGGGCCGCCACTGCCACCACCACCAATGGTGGGGACAACAACGGGGTTAGGGGCAGTCCTCGGAAGATCTGCCATAATATTGCATGGCACTGGTATCGCTGGACTGGTCGGACCATCTACAGGACAATATCACCCCCAAATGAAATGAATGATACTATCATGAAATTTCTCGACCATCTTGTTTTCATGGAGCACTTTATTCTTGGTTTTGTTTTAATGGTTTTATTTAATGGTTTTATTGTTTTATCTTGTTTTTATGCATGGGCTTGTGCCCTCTTGTAAGCAGCCCTGAGCCCGCGTGCGGGGAGGGTGGGGTAAAAATGTTAAAAATAAATAAATAAATAATAAAAATAGTGTACATACTACATCTTAGTAACTTGGAATTTATTAGGCATATGTTAGACAGAGACCATGAGATAACAAGTACTGATATAGAAGTGTTCATTCAAGAATTGCTAAAAGTACAATGATAATATGGTTCAACTGGGACATTTGTAATACAGAGACACCTTGTTAATTTCTCTACAGCAACTGTAATTAATGGAGGTGTTAATCCCTGTGCTAGTTCATTCCCATAGAGTTACATTCTAATAACTAAGTTCCCTCAGTCTTATCTCCTCCCCAAGCTAGAGTGCCCTACTTATTTTGCTCTGAAGTCTTCTTTCTGGTCACCTCTTTCTCAGTTTTTATGCATACAGAAGACATTGGCACCACTGCTAAAGCTAGTGATTTTTCCTGGTCAGAACTGTTCAGTAAATGCACTGGAACTAGAACACCACAGTGCTTCTCAGTGGGATACTTCCACTGTCTCCTCAGTTAACTATCCTTCTGGCTCCCTTCCCTCCACCTTCCTCTCCATTATCATAGCCAGCCCAGAGGCTTCTGTTTGTCATACAGCAATTCTACTTTCGTAAAGAGGAAGTGTATCTTATACTTACTCTGGGTGAACCGATTTCTCTTTTGATTAGCTCTTGTTTTATATTGGACTCTTTATAACACCCCCCTCCCACTTTCTGCCAGATATTTAACCAGGCCTAATGGATATACACCATGATACATACACCCAGGCTAGCCTGATCTTGCCAGATCTTGGAAGCTAAGCAGGATCAGCCCTGGTTAGTGTTTGGACGGGAGACCACCAAGGAAGTCCATGGTTTGCTGTCTAGAAGCAGGCAATTGGCAAACCACCTCTGAACGTCTCTTGCCTTGAAAACCCCACTGGGTTGCCATAAGTCAGCTGTGACTTGATGGCACTTTCCACCACCACCAATGAATGCACACTTATATGCATTTGAGGAAGTCTGATTCATGAAAGCTTGTGCTGAAATAAACAGTCCTTAAGGTACTACTGGACTCCTATGTAGTTCTGAGAGGTACAGACTGTCAAACTCTTTGCCAGATTTACTACCAGAGATGTTTTTGTACCTTGACACGCTAGACGCTGAACTGGGATCCTTCTGTATGTGAAATGTGCGCTCTGCTACTGAGCTGTGGCCCCTTAGCATTTCAATTTGACATACCTAATACTGAGCCATAGGTTTTAATGATGGAAAACTAGAAACAAACCCAGCCTATTAATCCTTTCTCCTGACATGACTTCTCTGATCTTTCAGTTTACACCAAAAGGAATCCATCAATTTATTGAGCATAAAAAGCCAATAGGGTGAATGCAAATTGCGGTTACCAAGGTGTCTTGAGGCAAACTGACAAGAGCTTCCAATAATCAAGGGATGGATCCGTGCAGCCCAATCCTAACCATGTTTACTCAAAAAAGCCAATTGATTTCAGTGGGTTCCAATTTAGGGAAGGAAGACAAGAAAGATGATTCCTTAGATGCACTTATAATTCTGGCCAAGTCCCTAAGGAAAGCAATATAAGAAGGTCTACTTAAAAGTAAGTCCCATTTTATTCAATTGGGCTTACCTTCAGGAAGGTGTTCTTAAAACTGCAGGCTAATTCTGCATGCTGAAGGACAACTGCTAGACATGATTTAGCAAACCTATGCACACGTACCTGGGAATAAATACGAGAGGGACTTACTCATAAGTAGACATGCACAGGCTCGGAAGCAATCCTTTACACCGCGGTGTGTGTGGGTAAACCCTGTTATACTGCGTGGAAGTTTTCCAAAATCTCTGTCGGTTGCTTTTCTTCTTTTCGGGATTTTCTTTTGATGTTATTTTTGTTACCAATCGGCTAGTTTTTTATATGTAATTTTTGGATCTCGGGTGACAAGGCTAAGAAATCTTTTGCGGTTGGAACGTATGTATGTTTACTCGGAAACGTGGGGCTTAGTTCCAGTCAAAAACAAAAGAAGCGCGTTATTAAGTGTTCATGCCGTTCCACGCACATTTGCTCAGAAATAAGTCCCGCTTTACTTAACCAGATTTGCTCCCCACGCCGGCGTGCGACCAAATTGCGAATAAACGAAAACAAACTTATTTATTTCCGAATAAACACAGGATCGGGAAGCACGGCTGCTACTGAAACCTCTGACGCAAACGTACTCGGGAGGGATCTCATTGCACTCCACCGAAGCCTTCCCGTCCTCCGGAATAAAGTTGCCAGACGGGATGAGGCTCCGGCGCTGCGTGATCTTCACCCCTCCCCTCCAGATTTTCAGCATTCGCTCAGCGCGTGCACGAAACTGACGCGCGCGCTCTACCCCTCACACGGCGCGCGCCCATCTACACACATACATACGGCGCGGCTGTTTCCTCCGTCCATCCTGCCCTCCCTCCGCCGCTCGCCTCCCCTCCTTTTCTCCCTGTCAGAAGAGGCTGTTCCCACACCCCTCCCCCGCTCCCGACTCCTCCCCGCGCGGGCTGTTCCGCTGCCAGGCGCCTCTCCCCCCTCCGCAGAGCTCCGGACCCAAGATGGCCGCCGTGTCAGTTTGGGTCTTCGCCGCCGTCCGGCCTCAGGCTCCTGGGCTCCGCCTCTCGTAGGCCCCGGTAAGCGCCGGCCGCAATCGCGACGCCTTTCCCGGCTTCGGCGGGGGAGGGAAAGGGAGCGGGAGGCGAGGGAGCCTGCGCTGGGCGGCTGCGAGCTGGCCAAGGGGGGAAAAGGCCCTGCGCGGGCTTCTCGCGTCAGGCCCCGCGGCCTGTTCCGGCCCGGCCGCTGCCGCAGCCGCTTCCTCCGCGCTAGGCCCAGCCCGAGCCTCGCCACCTGCATCCTGGTGGCAGGTGCAGGCGCCGCCGCGGACATGACGGGCCTGGCCTTGAAGACCACCCGAGTGAAGCTGCAGCCGCGGGGCTGAAGCGGCCTCTGGGCATCTCCCCGCAGGCCTCAGTGCCGCCGCCGCCGCCGCCGCTCTGAAGCCAGGGCGTTGTGGGTGAGCCTCACCACGGGCCTCCCTCCCTGCCTTGAACTGATGGGGCCGCTCCGCTCGCGGCTTCCCGGCAAACACTGACCCCGAGCGAGCAGGATGGAGGCGCTTTCCGACCCCGTCTCTCACTTCTCCGGCCTGAAACTGCGGAGAGACCCAGCCGCAGATCGCTTGCGGATCCAAGCTGCCGTGGTTCTCCTCCTCCTTGTTATATAACGCCTTTCGCTCACACTTTGGAAATGTCTGCGATGTCTCTTTGCTTAAGTTTAAAAAAGAATGGGTGGGGGTCTCCGGAGTCTCAGCGTTTTACTTGGGAGTGGGGGGGGGCAACCCACAGTTGTACAGAGATCCGAACATCTCTTGTGAACTTAAGTGAGGGAGAGTTCCAAGTGAGGATTTTAAAAGTTTCTCTGGTATATGTTTGACTTTTGTTGGCATGAGGTGGTAGTTGAGCTGGGGGAGTTGAGGTTATCCTAGTTATGTTTCAGATCTAAGCAGCTCTTGTAGTTGAAAAGGACAAGTTTTTAATATAGCTGCATTTCTCTTTCCCAGCTGATCTCTCTGTGTTTTTGGTTTTGAGGGTTACAAGTGTGTTAGCTAGACTTTCTCAGTGGGATGGAGCAACTTGGCATTTGTTTCTGGCCTAGTTTTGTAGATGGCCAGCATCTTGTTCAATAGCATCTTGCTGCTGCAAGGTCAGACCTTATTGAAATGTGGGCCTGATATGCTGTCATGTTAAATGCCAACTTGAAATTGCTCTCAATTTCAGTGCAGGACATGTTTTTGGATGATTTTTTCTTTAACACAGCTCTGTGGCCAACGTTCTAATGGGCTAGCAAAACTTGATAGTTGCTTAAAAGTTGCACAGGTGGTACATAACTGTTCTCTTGTTTGTTTTTTGCAGGCTTGAAGTTCCATTTACTTGGACTGGGGACAAAAAAGGCTGGAGTGAGATTTACAGAGCTGTTCTCACCTGTGGTACACTTCCTCGCCAACTGTTCTTGGGATTTATTGGAAAACATGAATTAGTTCCTAACAGGATTTGTGTCTTTTTAAACGGGACATAGGTGCTATTCGTCTTTGAAAAAAGGAAGAGCAATTTGGGGCAAAAAACGTGTATGCTATGGTTAGCTGGTCCTCAGATCATCTTTTTTCCCATGGTGTGAAACTCCTTCAGCATAGGGATAAGGGATAACGACTCTATGGATTTACAGAATTCTTCACCATGGTAAAACTCGCTAACCCGTTGTACACCGAGTGGATTTTGGAGGCAATTAAAAAGGTCAAGAAGCAAAAACAACGCCCTTCAGAAGAGAGGATATGCAATGCTGTGTCTTCATCCCATGGTTTGGATCGCAAAACTGTTCTGGAGCAGCTGGAACTGAGTGTCAAAGATGGAACTATTTTAAAAGTTTCTAACAAGGGACTTAATTCCTATAAGGATCCTGATAATCCTGGGCGAATAGCACTTCCTAAACCACGAAACCATGGAAAATTGGATGGTAAACCTAATGTGGACTGGAATAAACTGATTAAACGGGCAATTGAGGGCTTGGCAGAGTCCAGTGGTTCATCCTTGAAGAATATCGAACGTTTCTTGAAAGGGCAGAAGGATGTGTCAGCTTTATTTGCAAGCAGCGCCCCTTCTACCTTTCACCAGCAACTGCGATTGGCTGTCAAACGTGCTGTTGGCCATGGCCGACTTCTTAAAGATGGACCTCTATACCAACTCAATACTAAAGCAGCCACAAACGCAGATGGGAAAGAGAGCTGTGAGTCTCTTTCTTGTCTTCCTCCAGTGTCGCTCCTTCCACATGAAAAAGATAAGGTAAGACGCATGTGATCACTAGATCTTGCTAATTGATGAAAGATAGTTTCGCTGTTTGAAAGTTTTTTTAAAGAAAACGTATTCTTGTATGCGCTGATGTGCTGTAGTGGCTAAGAGTAGAGTGCACTGGGAAGTCCCTGCTTTCAAATCTCAGCTCAGCCATGAAGTTTCTGGATAGTTTGAGACAAGCAGTTTTTTCTCAGCCTAATCTCCCTTTTCTTCATGTGCAGTACCAGGATAATAATGCCAGTCTACCTTAAAAGGCTGTTGGGAGGAATGCAGAAAAATGTGTAGCTCCTTGAACTCTCAAAAGTGTTATAGGGATGATAAACCTTACATTATAGGCATGACTTGGACATCTCTCAGGGGCATGGATTGTTCTCTCTGAGCACTGGGTGTTTGTAGCCTGATGTTTTAATACTGCTGTCATAAACAGAACTATACATCCTTCTCTTAACTTCAGTGGACTTGGAATGGTGTAACTCTGTTTAGGATTGCACCGTAAATCTTCTACTACAAGTGCATAATACTGAAATAGCCTTTTGTCCCTGTTTGAAATCTCTCCTAAGCATGTAGTTATGTGTTGTTTCTTTCAAAGGCAGGAACTAGGAAGGAAGAAAAATTTCCCTTTACTGACTTTTTGAAGTGGACTGGTAGTGGTTATAGAACTGGGAATCTCTTTGTTGTTTTTTACTTTGGTTGTCAATCTCTGCTTTTTTCTTGTATCTCTGAATCTGTTTTAAGGAATAAAATGCACTTCTGAATTTCCCCCCTCTTATTCTTGTTATACTCTAACTTGCTTGACATAAAATAGATGAAATCTGGCTATTTCTAAAAGTTTTCTGCAACAGTGTTGACAATTTAGACATTTCCATCCAGATTACTATATAAAACAGATTACTACATTTGTTATCTTTGAGAGAAGGAGAGGTACTTTTTCTTGCTGGGTCATGTGCAAGATAAAAAACCTTAAAGATACAACTTATTTTCTGGCTTAGGCCACTTTTAAATGGCATGCCAGGCTGTTATGTCATTAGAAATGATTCCTCCTCTTGAACTTTTATAGTGTTACTACTACTAATGTTGAGAGAGATTAAAATAGTTATAGAATAGATGCTTGCATTTCCTTGATGTAGTTTAAAATATCATTTCTTCTGGGGGAAGAAGAGAGCATTGGGGATATAAGATAGTAAAAGCCAGAAGTTTAAGATTTTATATTTACTGGAGTATTGAGACAAGGAATGTAAATACAATTCCAATGAATCTTATATAGCTGTATGTTAAAAAAAAAAAAGGTGAATACAACTGCCCAGTAGGGAGAGAGCAAGAATACCAGAGTTCAAGTCCTTGCTGAGCCATAGACTTGTTAGGTAGCAAGTAGTTGACCCTTGACCTCCTGTCACCTGCTGTAGAGTGAGAAAAACATTCATCCACCTATTTTGCAGTAATGTGATGTTAACATTAAGAACTTAAGTAGTTACTAATGTAAACACACTCTAAATGAACTTCGTGAATGTGATCTGAAAAACCTTGGGGATATGTGACTCTATCTTAAGTTTTAAACATCAGGTGCTGTCCTTCGTGCTAAAACTTTGACAGCCTGTGCCAGAATTCAAAGTAGCCTCAGTCCCCATTCTTCCTGGATCCCCCTTCCTTTGTAATGGTTTGCCTCTGAAAATCACTGTTGAACGTGTAGTTGCTAGAAATACAGGCAGTGAAGAGCTGTATATCTATAGTGTTCCTTGTATGAGTACTAGTGACACTTCATGTACTTAGTTACAAATGAAAATGGATGCCTGCTTTGCTTGTACAGTACTGTAGCTTAGCTGACAACTGTTAGATTGACAGTTTTAAATGTTCTGCTTTAGGCTTAGTACATGGTGTGTTTTGAAACCTAGTGCAGGTGTGAGATGAATGTTTTACCAAGATAGCAGGGGTTACCACTGTCTCGCCATGCTTGTTGTATATAGAACAAAGTGTCCCGCAAATATGCTTTTAACTTACTTTCTTTCAACTTTAAATACTGGGGGATGCCCTCCAGGTCCATTTAGCTCAAGGTTTTCTTTGTAGCAGGCAGCACAGGTGAGTGTCACAGCAATTGTATAACATCATGGAATGCTAGCTGTAGCTTTGTAACCACTGTGCATAGTTTTTTGTATTTGATGATATTTGTCCTGATTATCTAAGTTAACCTTAAGTGTTTGTGTTTCCTGAATACATCTAGTCCTTTTGGAAACCTAAATATGGGTATTAGTCATATATATGATCCACCTTTCTTTCTAGAACTGCTAGTTTTGCAAAAATGGGTTACCCCAGTGTATCTCCATAACAGGCCTGTGAGGTAGGTTAGACTGAGACACCCAGGCTGGCCTATGGCCACTCAGAGAGTTTGATGATTGAGCAGAATTTTGAACCCCTGTATTCCTTCCAGTACTCTGCCTGCTATACAGATTAGTCCTATGTGTTGCTGGCCCCATGTCTCATGGCAATAAGTACCAAAGACTGATGGTATGGAATAAGAAAATATTTCTTTTTGTTGTAGATGTGTGATGAATGTCATTAGGTTCTCTTTTAGCAGTCTATTTTTATTAGTGCTATATTCACTCCTCTCTCTGAAAGGTGTCCTATATGCTGATGTTGTTGCCCCTTTTGTATGCTGCTGAACAGCTCTTTTAATCCTCATAGAACTGTTGATTGGGCTTAAAAGAAGTGTATACAGGTTTGGCCAATAATGCAGATTTCACATGTGCTTTGAGCCTAACTGGTTATACTAATAGTAAAAATTATAGAATGAATTGGCTGCTTGTTTTTAAGTCTATAAATCAGCTATAGTTACAATCCTTTGCAGCTCCAGGGACTACAGCATAACTCTCCCCCTTCCCCTCAGTGCTTGGTGCATTGTAACGGAATGTTCCCATGGGAGGAATTGGAGGGCTTTTGCTTCAGATAACTGAGTTGGCCACATGTTGCACAGGTTTCTGTAAGAAAAGCAGAATATAAATGAAGTAAATAAATGTTCAGCAGAACCCTTGTGTCACTGATGCAGGGGAAGTATGGTAGTGGAAGAGAGAGGGGGCTTATGCTGGCCTTCATTGGATGCACACCTGACTCCGTCTTTGGGGATGGGGTTTCCACCTAAGGCTTTACTTGAATCCATACTTAGTGTTCTGTCATTAGATTGAGATCTTATTTCTGAGTAGATGTGCTGAGAATTGGCCTCCTAAGTGCATTTTCTTTACATGGAGTATCTGGACAAGGCTACATAGGGATTAATTTTCTTTCATCGGGATGGCTAACTCTTTTTCTGCATAATTTAAATTCTTATGGAATGTACAAATAGATTCACTAAAATATTCTTCCAGTGTAGCCTCAGAAAGCAATAAATCCCCCCCCCAATGACTGCTCTTGTCTTGAAATAGATGTCAAGTTCAAGTCTTCATAGCTGTGACTGTTCACTAGTGGTCCTTAGTTTTGCATTGTAAGAGGAAAGGCTCCCTCAGTAACAGTGAGGACCCCGCCCCATTTCCTCAGGAAAGACTTCAAAGCCTTAAGGAAGAAGTGCCTGCACAGTTCTCCCTAGTAGTATCCTGCCAGCAGTTTGACGCTTTGATTTGTTTGGAAATAGAATGGGGGAAGGCTGTGGGGAGCGCTCCATCTGCAGTTCTGGTCTCTGTTCTCATCCTCTTCCCTCATTTCTCAGATTTGTCTTTTCCTTTGAGATGGTCTAGGGTTCTTATACCCAGGGCTATGTTCTTATACCCCAGGGCTAGTGCTAAGGACAGTTAGTTGTGGTAGAATGCTGGGCTTGTGATCTCCTTGGTAGGCCTTAGAATCTTACTGGGCAACCAGAGTGGCCTTGGTCTGTTCTTGCATGGATCTGAGAATCCTACAAGTAAATGAAGGCCCCGGTCACACGGGCAGGAAACTGCAGAGGAGAAGCGTGGCTGTTTGCCCTGGGGCAAACTACTGCGCAGTTATGTGATCAGACCTCCTGTGGAGGTCCTGTGGAGGTACCGTGGAGGTTCCATGGCAAGGGAGAGGTGCCGATCACAAGACAAGCCGGCGCACAACGAAGAAGCGTGCGCCGCAGCAAACTGTTTTTTATTTTTGTGTACATGACAAATGTGCATGCTCCGTTGGGTGCGCATGCGCATCCACAGAGACTTGGACAAAAAAACACACCTTATTTGCAAGGGGACATGGGCGGGCGCCGGATGCCACCGGAAACGCGATCAGACGCCCGCCCTTGCCCCGCAGTTTCCGGAAACTAGTACCTCCAAGGTACTAGTTTTTTGCCACGCAGTTTCGGCTGGAAGCCTCGGTTGAGCCACGGGAGTGCTACGCTTCCCAGATGTGCTGGTGAGATCGTGCCCGGAAACTCCGGCTGTTTTCCGTCTCACTTGTGTGGCTTCTGTTACATGTGACCGCAGCCGAAAGGTGCAACTCCTTACAATTTTATGTTATGTTGGTGTAAAAACTTTCAGCCCTTAATCAAAGTATTTCAGTATTTTAAGGTGGTTGCTATAGATTTAAAAACTGATACATGCGAAAAATATCTCATGCTGTCATTTTATCTTGCAGTTTCAACAATGACACAGTAAACCCAAGGTAACATTTGGCAGTAGATTCTTGGCAGTTTCACTTCTAAATTTTCAGTTACATGATAATCTTTCTATGGTGTTTGCTGTGAATGCAGAAGGGTAATAAAAACCCAACAGAAGGTAATAAAAACATCTGGAAATAATATTTTGTCAAAATATGTTGTTTTTAGCGGCACAGACAGACTTAGAGGTTTTTCTTAAAGTCTGTATCTCCCTATGCTGGCTGTATAAATTACTTTTGTTGTCTTTCCAAGAGTAAGAGCCAAACTATTAAACTTGGCTTCACAGATTCAGTAGGATTGACCTTCCAGTGATTCCATGATTGAATACTTATCTGAGAATGTTGTTAGGCGTTTTAAAGGCTAACTAAAGTTTTAGAGAAGTTTATTTGAATAACAG